GAGGAAACATCACCGAAGTATCCCGAAGTGAAGCGCCACACACACACTCATCAAGGACAGCATAGAGACAAGATTTGAGGCATCCTATGAAGAGGTAACATCACCGAAGTATCCCGAAGTGAATCGCAACTTACCCAAGCCCCCAAATCAGTGAAAACTCAATGTTTGAAGCATCAACACAAAGGGAAACATCACGGAACTTTCACAAGGTGAATCGCAACTTACCCAGGCTCCCAAATCAGTGAAAACACAAGGTTTGAAGCATCAACACAAAGAGAAACATCACGAAACTTTCACAAGGTGAATCGCAACTTCCCCAAGCCCCCAAACCAGTGAAAACTCAAAGTTTGAATCATTAACACAAAGGGAAATATCATGGAACTTTCACAAGGTGAATCTAAACCTACCCATGCTCCCAAATCAATGAAAACTCAAAGTTTGAAGCATCAACACAAAGGGAAACATCTCGGAACTTTCACAAGGTGAATCGCAACTTACCCAGGCCCCCAAACCAGTGACAACTCAAAGTTTGAATGATCAACACAAAGGGAAATATCACGGAACTTTCACAAGGTGAATCGCAACCTACCCATGCTCCCAAATCAGCGAAAACTCAAAGTTTGAAGCATCAACACAAAGGGAAACATCTCGGAATTTTCACAAGGTGAATCGCAATTTACCCAAGCTCCCGAATCAGTGAAAACTCAAGGTTTGAAGCATCAACACAAAGGGAAACATCACGGAACTTTCACAAGGTGAATCGCAACTTCCCAGACCCCCAAACCAGTGAAAACTCAAAGTTTGAATGATCAACACAAAGGGAAATATCACGGAACTTTCACAAGGTGAATCGCAACCTACCCATGCTCCCAAATCAGTGAAAACTCAAAGTTTGAAGCATCAACACAAAGGGAAACATCTCAGAACTTTCACAAGGTGAATCGCAACTTACCCAGGCTCCCAAATCAGTGAAAACTCTTTGAAGCATCAACACAAAAGGAAACATCTCGGAACTTCACAAGGTGAATCGCAACCTACCCATGCTCCCAAATCAGTGAAAACTCAAGGTTTGACAAGAGGAGGAGGGGGAGGAGAAGAAAGAAAAGAGAAGGAGGAAGAAGAGGAAGAAGAAGAAAAAAAAAAAAAAAAAAAAAAAAAAAAAAAAGTACGGAAGAAGGAGTGAAGAAGGAGAGGATAAAGAGGAAGAAGAAGAAAAAGAAGAAGAAGGAGATGAAGAAGGAGGAGGCCTCCCTCCTCTTTCACTCACCTCTAGCTGGTCTCTAGGCAGTGGAGTCCCAATGCTTGGTTATAGTCTCCTGAGTATGATTTTTCCTCTCTCCCAAGCTCTCTCCTTCTTCTCTCACATCTCTCCTTTAGCTATGGCAGGTTCCTATTTCTAAGGCTGTGGAGTCCTTCCCTCCAGAAGGGGTATGGGGACCCCTCTCAGCCTCCCCTCCTACTTCACTGCCTGAGGGCTATGGCGGACCACTCTCCTTGCTCCCTCTTAGCCTCTAGGTCACCTTTCTCAGCGTTACCACCATAGCCAGGCTACAGGCTAGCTCCGATCCTCACTCCCTTGCTTCTCTCTCACTCGGACTCTCTCCTGGACTCATTTGGGCAGCATGGGCACCTCTCATGCTCAAATGAGAGTTGCGGCCTACACCTCCAACTTATATAGGCTGGAACAGGTGCACCGCCCAACCTCTAGGCCCCTCCAAGTGCCTCTAGGTGGAGCGAGGTACCTCAAAGGCCAAAATTCCGGTTTTGGCCTCCCCGGGGGTACCTGGGCCTCATTTTGGCCAGGTATATGCAGTCCGAGAGGCTGGTACCTTCTCGGACTACCCCTTGGCCTACACCGGCCTCTTTTCACTTCAAAAAGTGTTGCCTTTTGGGTACCGCTACCCCAAAATGCAGCCTTTATCAAATTTTGAGGGCCTAGAGGCCCATTTTCCACCTTTTTCTTGGTCTAGGCCTCCTTTGGGTAGGCCGTTGCACTTTCCCAAGTGGCGGCACAGATCTCAGCCTTGGATTTGGCTGAGATGTATGGTTCTCATCATTCCGAGTTACTCCAAGCTCCTCTTGCTCCAAGTTTGAGTCTTTTGCTTCAATTTTTATTTTTTTTGATGTACCTGGCCGAAACCTTGGGCCAAATTCGCAGTTTTGTCTTGCTTCTCTCTTTGTTTTCCCTCCATTTTGCTGCCAACTCATTCCGGAGCTAGCCGTTTTGTGTCAGCCCACMAAAAACGGCTAGATCTCCTCCTCCGCAAGATCAGATCTCATATCTAAGGCCCAAAAATGAGCCGGCCAACTCACATCAGCTTTTTCCCTTATTTTTGCTGCTAAAATTCAGATATTGCAGAGATAATGCCCCAAGGGACTTATCTCTGCAATCCGGACTGCACTCCTAGGATCTAGGAGGGACGAGGTCATCATTGGGACCTGCCCATCCCTACTGCTGCAGTCCCAAGCTGGCGGCACATTTTCCTCCACTCATTCCTCCTCCTTTGTCTCATTCTCCCCTTTTTTCTCCCTTTTTCTCTCCCTCTTTCTTTTATTGCTGTAGGGACAAGTGTCCAACAATTATTTCTCATCTTTCTGGCTGTTGGACTTCACCCAAGGTCTGTTTTTGTAGCCGGCACATGGCCGTTGCACCTCGGACTGCAGTAGTGGCACCCCCAAGGCCAAAGGGGGCTCCTTTTGCTGCCGCCGCTTCCAATTTGAGACCCCCTTGCTCCGATTTTCTCCGGCCAGCCCTTTTTCCACGTGGAGCCCTTGGAACTTCGTTTTGCTTGGCCTGGCTGATCCGGGATACTCGGACTGCTGGCCAGCTCCCCCTTACTGCCGCTATTCCCTCTCCTTTTTTCCTTTCGGCACCTCCCGCCGGCGCTCGCCGCGGCGGTGCTTAGCATTTTCATTCGAACCCCCTGGCCCGGAAGGTCCCATCCACCTGATGTTATGTTTGTTTGTTTGTTTGTTTGTTTGTTTGTTTTTTTGGATCCAGGGTCCCCTTGGGTCGCCCCAGGTGCCTTCCGTCTTTCCCGTCTCACGTCCGTCTCCTTCGTCCTGTCGTCCATTTTTGTCAGCATCCGACTTCTCCTGTTTTTCTTATTATCGCTAGTCTCTCCCCTTTTTCCGGCGTCGTCCCGGGTGACGGCCCGCTCTCGTGTACTTCCCTCGGGTCGGTCGCCCCTCATTCCGCCGACGGCTCCGGTCTTCAACCCTCGTTGGCGGCTCCTAACACTTTATCCCGTTGATACCCGTCCTGCTAGTGGTTCCGCTGGTGCTTGCCATTTTATCTAGGCCTATGCGGTCCCTGGCACTTCGGCCTGCCTGCATTGCATTACGTCTTTCCCTTGGTCTCATGCGGTTCCCGGTACTTCGCCCTGCCAGCACCACGTCGTCTCCTGGTCTTGTGTGGTCCCCGAGACTTTGTCCTGCCGGTACCATGTCTTTCCTTGGCGCTCCTGACGTCCTTCCGCCTTACGGTGATCTCCGCTCCCTGCTCCTATTGCGTCCC